CAGAAGATAGACTACCCGATGTTTCTGTTCTGCGAGGGAAGCGGTAAGGATCTGCAGCAGGGAATCGAGGTCGTCGAAGGTCTTCTGCCGTCAGCAGGTCACTTCGTCGAGAGCGTGGAGGACGATCTGTACGAGTGCGAGGAGTTCGAGTTGCTGCAGTAAGATAGAAAAAAAAAGGAAAAAAGAAGGTGACAACACGGGAGTATGACACGCGCGATTCCGTGCTCATCTGAATTACTCTCGCGAGAACGTCTCTACGTCTCTATCTGCTCGCCCAATATCTCGCGGCAGTATTTTTTTTTTCATATATCCGCTTCTCCAGAGCGCGCGTAGGAAAACATAGTAAACGCGAGCCGGATATGTCGTCCTGGAAAGAATGAGATGCTCAGTATCGAGGCGATGAGTAACGCATTCCCATCGATCTCAATGCGTGTATGAAAACAGAATTTGAGTGAACTCAATGACCAGTTACTGTTACTTATGAGATAGGAGATAAGGAAGCAAGATTATTCACGACGTTAGTACAACTTAATGAGCTGATTAATTCGTCTTTTCGATTGTTTATTATGTATATATATATGTATGCAATTATTATGAGAATGCACAATTTTCTTATCTGGTTATATATGATCTCGAAATTCGTTGATGGCTTTATATATTGATCATTAGTGATAACTAACTTAATAATAATTTAATATGACTTAATATTGATTCGTTATCGAAATTTCAGCAAATATTTATTTCGCGTGTTACAACGAGGCTTTGATTAGTCTTGAAACAATTTTATGACGCGCGTTAAATCTGTTGAGTTATCGAAATAAAATTATATTTTGCGAAATTCTCTATATATATACAACAAAATTCCACGCGAATAAAAGCGCGACGATTCTCAAGTCTGATTCGTTTAAAGGAAACTATAATAAGGCATTAATTTATTTATTTATTTGTAATCGAGTTATTCCTGAGTAACTCTTCTGCCTTGAAAGAGGAATAAAGAGGAATTTGAGGAACGTGAACATGATATATACAGGATGAAGCATCTAATAGTGTACACCTAAAAATTTATTTAGAAAAGATTTGTGATATCTGTACTTATTTATAGATATATAAATAAAAATAATATCTAAGAACTATAAAAGGAAAAAATTGCAATAAAATTTTCGAAATCTTGAAAACTATTTAAACGAGTCTTTTTCCCTGTTACATTCCTACAAGCTTTGTCTTCAACGATATTTTCAAGAGCGGCAGAAACATTTACGGTAAAATAGAGTAGAATAGACAATAGACTGGAGTGAATCGTTCATTTCGCGCTGCAAAATTACTCGAGCGCTCCAAGAAGCGAGATAACATGATATGTATAACTTGCTTAATCGACGACAAATAAGCCTAGAGTATTCTCTAAAGCGTAATATAGATTTAAAAATAGAAAACACGAAGATTGTTAAAGAATTCATTTATATGTACACTTTTTTAGATGCCTCAAACTGTATATGTATGTATGCATGTATATGCATATGTATATGCGTATATTGTACTTATACTGTTGAATATGTACACAATATTGAACGTTGTTATATATCTCTCTTACAGCTGTAACGCTATACGCTCGAAATAAATTGAGAAATATATGACGATTACGTCATCCTAGAATGTATCGCCGATTATTCGAACAATAATTCCTGCTTTGTACTATATACTTTGAACCTTCGGCCACAAGCAGCGGTTTGTCATGCAAGTGCTAGTTGCGAAACAAAAGATAACTCGCAACGATATCAATATCATTGAGTTACCGCGAAATCTCGTTGTATTACCTAGGCGTTCTTCATTCGGAAACATCTACAAGCCTATTATTGTCGGCACGACATCGCGTATTTACAACCTAATGCCAGTCACACTTGTGTGCGTTCGTGCGTGCATGAGAGAACGTCGCGCGGATATGCTATAGTACGCGTTCTGTCTGTCGTTGTTGCGAAGTAAAAAACACTTGTTGCCGGAGGAGAGCGTGATATTCCCATCTGTTACTCGAGATCGCGTGTGGGGAGCGCGAATTGCAAATCTCAAATAGATCTAAATAGATTGTCCGTTTTAATTATTTCATAAAAGAATATGAAAATTATTCTTAGGCGCGTGAGATTTTATCTAATCTAAGCTTCTCTAATCTAATTTAATTTTTAGGCAAATAGAATATAAGAATTAGGTCCAAAATATTCAAAAATCTGTTTTCTTTAGAGAGATCTAAGAAACGAAGAATTGGAGAAATCTAAACAGATCTAAATAGACCTATTTAAGGATCAGAATGGCCTGCGCGACCGTCCGACATATTTAAATAGAAAATTTATCTAAAAATTTAATCTCTAAAGCTCAGCAATATTGTGCTACGCAATTCCTGATCGCCGGCCACATTTCGTTAGTGGCGTTGCCGCGAAACTCCCTCAGTATGCCAATCTCACGATAAAACTGCACGACTGGCTCGGTCTTCGTCGCGTAGTCCTGCAGCCTCTTCTGTACAACTTCCGGCTTGTCATCCTCCCTCTGGCACAACGGTTCGCCCGTTACATCATCTTTGCCCTGCAAAACGCGACAAAATGCTCCGTAACTAACGCCAAAAGATCCGACTTTCAGTTTTATAATTAATAAAAATGCAGCGCTAGTATTTTATAATTATAATATATTAGAAGAAAATATTGTATAGTAGATTCTATCTTATTATAATGAATTGTAAAGAATGTAGTATTATAGGCTCTGGTATATCCTCAGTTAAACCTGCGCTTCTTTCTGCGCTCTTTTATTTTCAATGAAGATAGATATAGATATGCATTCGTTGCGTATGTGTATGTGTGCGCGCGCGCTGATTACCGGCACTCGTGGATCATTGAAGCCGATATTGTAGACCCTACCGCTGGGCAGATGGACCCATCGGCTCTTGACGCGGTCCAGAATGACGGCGGTCGGCACCACGAGATTCAGCACGAGATTGATCGGGTGCAGCCTCTGCAATCGCTCCGCCTGCGTCAATGTCCGCGGGAATCCTGCCAAGATATTCGCTCGCGTTTAGAACACACACACACACATCAGGCGGCAGGTGGGAAACTCGCGGCTTCGAGACGACGACCTTGGCCGCGACGCCGACGCCGACGCTAACGCGAGGCCAGAATCATTTCCTTCCACACTCACCGTCCAGCAGCCAATTCCGACCCGCCATCGACCTGATCTCGTCTCCGATAAGAGATATCATCGTGTCGTCCGGCACGAAGCTACCGCTGTCCATGTACCTCTTTACCTCCTTGCCCAGATCTGCAAAACGAGATGTTTGTCTGAGAGCGCTTTGCCAACCGGCGTAGCCAATTCAACGAAACGGCTGCACGTGTCTTCTCGAGCTTTCATTGAATCATATTGTATAATCGCGCGAAATTTGTTGTATCGGAGGCATCGCGTGTTTCGAGGGTGTTTCTAAAATTAACAGACCGACAATCTTTCAAGCACGGGATGAAGGATAGAAACAAACGCGGAAATTTAATTTTATTAAAATTTGATGTGTGACACGTGTCATTGAAATTATAAGATTAAATATCTAATTAATATAATATATATATTATATCATTATATTTAATGTTATTTTATAATTATATGTATAATAAACTATAAATACTAAAAATATATAATGTATATATATAGTTTAATTATATATTATATAATAATATATTATATATATGATATAGTATGTAATATGTATGTGTTTTAATATGTTAATGTGTTTCATATATTATAATTTATTAATAATAATAACAGAGAGAAAACGTGATTAAGGACGAACAAAAATAATTTCATCAAAACTAATAATTTAAACGCGTTATCGCAAAATCCAAGTGCTCTCGATTACGATTACATAATGCGGTATATCGAAGATAAGATATTAAACGCGGAGAATTCATTTAATCGAAATGACAATAACACTTCCGACAGTTCCGACATGTTTTTCAAATTAACTGATTGATAATGGAATGAAATCTGATTACGTAACGGCGCGCGGCGTGAGTGTGAACATTTAAAAACAAACTTTCGTGTTAACGAAGTCGATTATCCGTGAATCTTGCTATCGAAATTATCGAGATATTGACCTCGAAGTACGAGGTTAACGATAAAATCCTAATTAGCAAAATAAAAAAAATTAAAATTTATATCCAATATAGTAATACGCGTTTTCGAAATGTTTCAACAGAAAAAATTCAACATATTTACATGTATGTACCAATAATAAAATACTCAATAGTAAAACGACAGACGAGGAGGAGATTGACAGCGGGCGCTTTTAAATATTCAAAAGGGCATTCAGGGGTAAAAGACCACCACCACCATCGCCGACGACGACGACGACGTACCAGTGCCGGCGGACACGTGGAAGCGCAGCCTGTCGCCGCTGGAGATGTGCGCAACGCCGAACTGCTGGACGATCCTGGAGGAGACGGTGCCCTTGCCGGACGCCGGCGCGCCCAGTATGACGGCCCTGAGGGTCGTCGCGGCGGCGGCGGCGCGACACGTGGTGATCGCAACCATGAGGGGAGCCGCGGTTTACGAGGCTGACGGCTTCCTGCGCTCGGCGGCGACGACGACGAGCGTCCGAGTGCCGCGATGAACTCGCATCGCCCTCGCCGGACTCTACCTACGATCCCTACTACTGACCGCCGCGCGGACTTCGATACTTCGGCGATAAGGCCGCGCGGCCGCCGTGACGCGCCGTGACGCGTCGTGACGCAACCGCGATGCGCCGTTTCGTAACGTTGCGTCGCGTCCCGACGCGCCGCCTCTCGCCGCCTCGCCTCCGCGCAGGCCCGAGGAATTGAATTGATCCGCGCGTTCCCTGGTTCGCGTACGTGAGCGACCGGACGGCGCGAGACCGTCATCGACGAGGCGTTGAACCTTTTGAACCTTGAACTTTGAACTAATGATTAGTAATAATGATCGATTGTGACGCAGATTTGCGACTCCTTCGCTCGCAGTCGGATTGAATTGTCATCTAGAAATAACCAGTTGCATCCTCATCGTACTGTGAATATTATAGTTTGAATATATCTCAGCGAAGTGTATAACATCTCGAAGTCGTGTGCACTTATTTAACACGATCTTAAATACAAGATATAGATTCTTTGTTCCTTTTCCATCAGTTCTTTTTCGAAGAACTTCCTGAACTGCGCATTAGTGCGCATTAGTGCAATAAATTAGAGTGAAATAAAATATACTTAATTGTCTCACTCTAACTTATTGCACTACGTGCACCAGTTCTTCGGAAAAAAAAATGATCCTATGCAAAATCTCTTGCCATTTGAAAAAATTTTCCGAATTGTGAGCGGATAAGAAGATTAATTATTTTCTAACAAATGTATAGATGACGATTAAAAGCCGCGCGGAGCTGCGGTCTCGACAAAAACGAACGATTTGATTTAATTTGAATTCTGTCAAGTTTTCAAACGTGACGAGACAACCGCCGCCGTGGCAGATCACGTGCCAGCGAGCTGAACGTGTCTGCGTTGGTGGCACTGTTGGCGGCAACGGCAAGTTCACTGCGATCCGCGAAACCCGCTCTAACTGTAGCCATTTCCTTCGGGCTCTCTACTTTCCTTCGTTACTGGCATTACGAGTGAGTTGCTGATTCCAATCAGGGTCCAATTAACTCGATCAGCCGTCATGTCGAAAAATTCGTTCGAGGAGACGATCCGCCAGACCAACGAGGCGCAGATGCAACTGAAAATCAGACTCGAACAGGTGTCGAGGCTGCGGAGTGAGTATAAACTCTAAGATATTCTCGATCTTCGATTTATCTAATTTAATTCCGAAAAAATAAACAACCGTCGTACTTAATCGTCGCAGTTGATTGCGCGAAGCTGCAATTGGAATTGCTGAGACTCTACCGGCCGCAATGTTTGGAGATCCTGGAAATGTTGCAGGACATTTCCGTGCCCGTGGACCCCTTCGGCCGCAATGGCAACATTGTCGAATCGCGCGACAACGTCCAGGTCGTCTAGGTAATATGTGTCGCAAAAATTATACAAGGTGCGTGCTGAGACGGGACGTTGAGCCGCGTTTATGTTGAAATATATTTATTATATTTCGAATATAGGACTGACACATCGACTAGACACCATCGACATGCGTATCCATATAACGCCGTGTAACGTAAACATTTGATATATATAATATAATAGACAGTAATAATAGATATAGATTTGCGAAGAGATAGACTCTTTAGAAGCTGCGTCAAGTATCCTTTCTCTTTCTTCCCTTTCTCCTTCTCTTTTTCTCTCTATCTTTATTTTTTTTTCTTGTTACGTTTTCTCCCGGCGAGAAACGCGTTAAACCGGCAATTCCGCGTGTAACTACCGCGTGCGAGAAATTATAATCGCGTCTAATGTAATCTTTTGATTGGCGCGAGCGCGAAGAATTAATGCGCTAGAGGGGAGACACATATGCGCTCGCGACAATAATTTTTTTTTCTCTTTTTAGGATACTTAACACAATAATTTACACATATATTTTTACGTCGTTGGATCTCCTCTCGACTTTCATTTGCGAGGCGTTCGTCCAAACTCTACATATTTGATGGAATTTTGCAGTATCCCTTTCGGGGAAGGCAAACATTCGCAAAGTTCGTTTCCTCATTACGAGTCGTCGTGCAAATAAATCTGTCGGGGATATCATTTATTTATTGTCTCTGTAAACTCGTTAATCGTTGTTCAGTTCAATGTAGGAGGATCGAGGGAAAGGGAGGATGTTTCGTGAACCCGTCCAGACGAATATATAGCACACCTCGCAAATACAGATAGAACATCTTATTCTCTTAATTAGAGGTATTATCTACTCTCCTTTTAGATCCAGGGTTTATAAGCTTCTTTTAAACAGATAAAACGCAACATTTCGCTAATTAGACATTATCTTCCTTTTTTTTAATTTTTAAATTCAGGATTTTGAAATCTCGCGCTGACGAGGAATTCATATGCGTCGTGTGCGAAAAATGCTGTTTCACGTCGAGTACCACCGATATTTTTGAAACCTGTTCTCGAATCGAAAGGAAACGGAGACTCCACATTTGCAAACTAATGTCCATTTCTACCAATGTAAATTAACTTTATAATCTCGGTTTAACTTACTTTTTTTCTTTTTCTAGTTCTAAGAATTAGATGTGTTTTCACATAAAGAATTTTTAATCTATCATATACGTACGGTCTTATTACACTTTTAAAAATTCTTTATTATGTGAAAACATATCTAATTCTTAAAACTAGAAAAAGATAAAAAAAAAGTTAAGCCGAGATTAAAGTTAATCTACGTTGGTAAATGGACTTTACTATTCTTCTTTTCTGCATACTACTACTGCTACTTTTTCCCGGTATTAAAAAAAAAATTTATACGGTTTTTGATGATTATTCTAATCCATTTTATTTCGATTCGGGAATGACTTTTCGTGTGCCGCAGCTTCTCGTTAATCCTCAGCTGGTACCACACGCAGGGGTCTCTGTGACTAAAATAATCACATAGACAATCGACTTATAAATTTCTTTTTTAACTCTTTTCTGTAGATCCGAGAAGCTTAAGGAAACGTATGGTACCCAGGGAGGACTAATCTTGATTCATGCTTTATTACGACGGAAGATTCTTTAATACAGTAAACCGCCGGTTATCCGGACGAGACTTCTAGTAAAAGAAAACGTAGGCCTAGGGGGTATTAAACAAAATAACAAATATAACTACAACAGCAAAACAGTTTCGGCGTAAATTAAAAATCCTCGTTCCGCGTTCAGTCGGATGTCGATCGTCAGGAGGAGGGGGGGGGAGAGATCGTTCGGTACTCAGGCGATACCTGGACGTCCGGATAACTGGCGGTTCAACCGTATCGCGCGGCCGGACCGGAGCTTCCTCTCGCTCGCCTGGTTCTTATCGTTCGGACATGGTTTGCTGCAGCGCGTCGAGGGCTCCTTCGTGATGGATGCGACGTCCGGAACTGCCCTCGTACGCCGGCGACGTGCGGAAGCGGTGCTCGTATCGCGCCTGATACAGCCGCAGACATGAGTTCCGCGCGCGGCACTGCGCGGTCGCCGCCCCGGGTGGCTGCAACTGCGACAGCAGCAACGCGGCGTTCGCGCAGGACTGCCTTTCGCCCTCGCGCACCGCAGCCGCCATCCGCGACTGCCCGTCCCTGGACTCCAACGCGTCGCACACCTTGCCGGCCACCAGGGCGTAGTTGGCGAGGCAGGGTAACAGCCCCTCCTCGTTCTGCGCCTGGTACAAAACGATTTGTTGTAGCTTTTCCGAAGAATGGGGGAAAAAATTCCCACGAAATGAGACTTAAGAATTCAAACTTAAAAAATAAGCCTGTAAATCCTGAGACTAATAGAGTGTTGGAGCGCGTTAGGTGTATTTATTAAGAATATATTTAATATTTTAATATTGATGCCTAAGTATTTTAATTTAGTAAGAGATATTGTTAGGATGGAATTTAATTTTTCATGAAACTGAGCTTTGAAAATTCTGACAATAAGAGGATTGATATTCCTATTGCATTGAATAATATTCCAAGATTTTTGGATTTAGAAATGTAAAGGACATTTTTATGTCTTCACGTGCGACATTAGATTGATTTATCCGTAATCTCCGAATTATCTAAAAATCTCTATAACATAAAGATAGGAGTTTGTATGGACTTACGCAAGCTTTGCAGATTTGCAATTTCACACAGGGCACGTAGAGCATTTGAGCTGTGTCGCCGGCTAAGTTATCCACAGTTCGGCATCGCCACTCGATGGCTTCTAATTCCGGACAGCTTCTAGGTTCCTCGATGGCTGTATAATACAAACAATTGTCTCATATAATTTGTATTAGCTATTATTTAACTCGAGATTCATTGGATTTGCACAGATTATTCCAGATTTATCGAGCCATCTCTTGCCTGCAGATTCTTTGGACTTAAAAATAAGAGATCAATAAATTCTGAATTGTGTATAATTAAAATTAAAAAGCTTCGAAAGCTAAATGAAAGTAAATTCTGAGAACAATGTTATTTTTTATTCAATTTTGATATGTTTATAAAATTATAAAACAAAACTCAACTATAGTTTCCAAATTATAGAAAAGCTAAAAATTTACATATTTACATAATTACATATTAGATAAAATTGTGCAATCAAATTAATTATAAAGATAAATATGAACTATAAAAATATTAAATTAAAAAAAATTTTTCTTCAGAAAAACTTAGAGTTAAAAAATTAATAACTAAGAAACGCGCAATACGCTTTTATTAAGAAAAATTTCAATAAATGCTGACTCAGTAATTGTGGGATATTCTGCATAGTTTGTATAATCTTTCCTACAATTTCTATAACTTCTTTTCGGATATAAAATACTCACATTCGCTTTCCTCTATATTGTTATTAATATCGTTCCGTTTCTCGTCAGCTTTACTGCCGGTAACACTATTAGTGTTCGGATTATTGTTTTCGCGAAAATTAGACGTAGAATTGTGCTGTGCCTCCTTTTGCGTTCTCTGTGTCTGCTTATGAGCCGCAACATTGTTTCGAAGATCGTTCAGCGCTTTTTGCATTTTCTGCAAGGTATATGCCGCTGCCATTCGCGACATTAACTTATCCTTCACCTGTTAAACATTTTTACACATTTTTTTTTTCAATAATTCTTATTATTATTATTATTATTATTATTATTATATAAAGAAAAAATTAGATATTTTGATAATTTGATTTATAGTATTATATAACAAATTTATTTATAATTAAATTTATTATATTTCATAATTCAAATAAAATTGATGTAATAATGTGTGAAAATGCAAGTAGAAAAATTTACCTTCTGCAGATCCACTTTATCCTCCGAAGCAGCGTACCTCATAGCTTCATCGATAATCAAGTCCTTAATATATTTCAATTTTGTATCCATCTGCTCGAGTTTATCCTTCCGCTCATTCTCGTCTTCCTTTGGCTTTAAATTTTCGGCCATATTCTGCCAACGAAGGACGAAGGTTCTTACTTGTTTATTTAGCGAATAAAATCAAGCTATTGGTTGAACTACCATTAACTATTACAAATATACATAATCTATAAACTATATTATAAATATAAAGATGTATAAATATTTTTTTCCACTTTTATTGCCATCATTGTGCGATGCATTCGACAAAAGAATTTTAATAATTATACGATATACCTCGTAGTAACGCTGCAGCATCCACTCGTCGTCCTGATTCTGCGTGCCCTGTCCGGCTGTGAGGGTCGTCTTCTTCTTCCTCCGATCAATGCCGAAATATTGCGACCAGTCGACGCTCTTCTTCCTCACCTGAAGGAATTTCGATTTGGCCGTCTTCGTAGCGTTTTCTTTTTGGCCCTTCGGGGACGGCGTCACTTTCAACGGCGTTTCCGTCTTGCCCTCATGATCGTGCTCGTGTTCGTGATCGTGATTCTGATTGGATTTGTGCTTGTGTTCGTGATTCTGATTGGATTTGTGCTTGTGTTCGTGATTTTGATCAGATTCTTGCTTACGTTCGTGATCGTGATCGAGATCGTGTTCGTGTTCATGATCAGATTTATGAGTGTGATTGTGTGAATTCGTGAATTGCGTGCCGAATAGGGCTCCTAGGTCTTGAGCAACCTTAAAATAGAGAGAGAGAGAGAGAGGAATATGTTTTACACAACGTTGCCACCATGTTCCACGTTGACGTTTGACTCCACAAACGTGTAATTTCACAACAAAATCAAAAACTGATTGATAGTAGACAGAGCAATTAGCTGCCAGCAGCAGCACGATCTTGCTTTGTTATTTGTCGCGTTACCTTAGGATCCGTAGTCTTTGATCTGGTTTGGGTCGGCCTGGGGCTTCTCTTAGCGACCGGATAGCGCTTAGTCAGCTTGCGATAGCTACCGAACTCGCGGCCGATAGGAAATCGGCCGTTTACATTCCTACGTTCCGCCGGCAAGTATAGGATGCCCTGATCCTGATCGCGATCCACGAACTCCTCATCATTGCCGTCCTTCATCTCGCTCCTCAATGAATCCTTGCTAAGTAGCTCGCCCCAAGACATTGGTCCTGCCGTTCTATCGAGCAAACATTACGTTGAACATTAAATCCCTTTTTCAAACCATTAATCGTTCTTGTACCTCATTTTCGGGACAAAAATTATGTTATATGAACAAACTGACGTTAGAATACGAATGAAGGGTATAGGGGAAAACCGATCAAAGTTCACTTTTTGTCGAAATTGATCTGATCATGCTATCTTATGGCATTTTCAAAGAACTTTAATTCTTATCTGTTTTGATCAAGAACAGTTACAATTCATTGGAAATTAAGGCTAAAAAATATACCGTGTCGAGGAAAAAACGATCATAACTCTCGCGCTTGTGGGAAAGAATCATCAGAGTCCAACATACAATGTAAACACTAAATAAATACTACTAATGCTGCGTTCCGATAATCATTAAATTATGTACTAATTTTTTCAATAGCTTCCTAAGATATCTAATGTCTTGAAACTTATAAACTGATATAACAATTATAAGCTCGTTATAAATCGATATAACTATAAAAAGCTCGTTACATTATAGATGTGATCTTTAATGGGTCGAAGTCGAAGGGAATGACCATCGAACTTACTCGTATACTTTGTTCCCTCTACCAGCTCTGTAACTGTCGTAAATTGATTGTAAAGCAGTTAGATAGTCGTCGTCCACCTCCACGAGCGCACCGTACGGAAAACCGTTCTGCAGTTCCTCCATGAACAACCTCGTCAGATCTTCGTTGTCCAGGTTCAGTCGATCGCCGGCGCCACCCCGTTTGCGGCTACCACTTCGCTCGCGCTCGCGAAAGATCGAGGCCTGCACCGGTTCTTCCTGCAAGCAATTATCATCGTGATGCTCAACGTTATTTATCGAGGATCTCTATGGCACATCTAGCTTGACTGTTTAAAATGTCTCTGCTTTTGATTTTTATACAATTTTTTAATATGATTGGAAGGGACAAATATTACGATCAACAAAATGTTGAAACTCTCCCAGCTCTTTTTTCGACGGAAAGTTTTTTGATCATTTTTACCTTCTTTTAAAATAATTAATTTTACTACAATTTGAATAAAAAACTATTATGTTATATATGTTACATATGTTATTTAATATAAATAGATATATAATTATATAATTATTATATAAATATTATTACATTAATTATATTAATTATATATATTTGAAAATTATAAACATTTAGATAAAGAAATTATTATGCGTGTTACTAATCTTTGTCTTTTCGAATTTTCCGTTTATGTGGTTTTCTGTGCTATCAAGAGCAACCGAAATGTTTTTGCTAGTCAAGTAAAATTGAGATTTAATTGGAATTTAATTTTAGGAATTAACCTTGATTAAAATGGAATGACTATCTATCTTGAGTGATAAATCGAAAGATTTATACCTGCTCGGGTAGAGTCTCCAAATAATCGAGTAGTGCTCTTTCGAGTAGCTTATTATTCAAGCCCTGGAGACCCTCCCCCACCGTTTCCAGCTGACCATTGTCTAAAACCGCGATAAAAGTAATTGACAATTAGTAAATACAAGGATCTAATACGATATACGATACAAAAGTCTAAAAAAATACAATACATAAAAATGTAATACGAAAAACATAAAACATATACCATAAAAGTTCATTCTTTTTCGCTCTTTTCTCGGAGTCTAAAAATAAACGTTCTCTCGAAAAAATCTTACCGCTAGGCAGGAACTCGATCTCCTCGTCGTCCTCGTCGAAGTCGCGATCGAACTTGCGGTCGGTGTCGCCGCCGTGATACTTGAACGAGTGCAGGTCGTTGTAATACTCAGGTGAATCCGCCATGTCCAGGGACCTCTGCTTCCGCATGTTTTTGGGGCTCCTGAGAAGCTCGTCATGGAAGTGTCGAGCCGCGGGAATCAGCGTGATTGCGCTCGTTCCCAAGATCAGCAGCGGCAGTATCCACCGTGGCGATGCCATTTGTGCTCAAACTAATCAGTAGAAATGTATAATTGCATGCAATATCGCGCAAAGAGACATTGAAAAAGTAACTGGAAACACTAATTATCTCCTTTTTTATTATCCATCCAATATATACAAATAGGAGGTATACACAGATTAATATAATGTTTAAATATAAATAAAAAGTAAAAATTACAATTCGATTGATTGTGTAAAGAATTACAGATAAAAAAAAATTGATTAAATCTGTTGACTGTGAAGAAATACTGTTGCGGAAGCAATAACAATTATACACAGATTAATTTAATATGATATTTAAATAAAACATATCGATTATGTATAAACAAATATGAATTTAATGTATATTATATATATATAGACATTAAAAAATTTAGAAAAATTGACAAGTTTATTTTCTCTGTACTATAACCGATACTTTTTTTTATGTAAATGTCATATTAATCTATGCATACTCATAATGAATAATGAGAACGAAAATACATTTCTAATTTTTTTCTTTAACGAAAATTGTTATAAAAATTTTATATCATTTTTATGAACCATAATATCATATTATTGTAATTTTTATTTTTTTCAACAGTGATTTATTTTAAACCGATTTGGAAAAACAAGCTCCTCGATTCGGTTCTGCCGGTTCTGCGCTCGGTGCCTTAATCGTCAGACGTGCACTGTATTCTACATCGTAATAAATATATATAGATATATTGACCACGTCTATTTTGCATACTGCACTAAGCTAATATCGATTTTGTTAATAGGGTGACGAAGTCCTTCGCACGAATGAAGACGTATCGAGGAAATCTACGACGTAACATCAAGACAAGATGCCCAGATAGCCCTTCATATCAAATCCATTCCGATATTCATAGAAAAACTCATCGAACTTAATATTAAAATTCATTGAATTTAAAAGTAAAATAAAGAGGAAGGAAGAGGGAGGAATTTTAAACAGAAAGTAACAGATAAAGAAAAGTAAAGTGTAAAGGACAGAAATCGTAAAGTAGAAACAGGTTTTTCATCTTTTAATTAAAAGTCAGAGTAAAATTAAGCGAAATGAGCTAAATCAGGAAAATACTGTAAAATAAAGTGATAAAGAGGGCACATAAATACAAATTACATTGCGCAATTTTTTTTTCTCTTTAGGATCAATAAATGTAATATTTTCTAATGTAAAACTCGCAGATTACATGTGTAAATCGTAAAACACATGTAAGTTTCTCAAATTCGCGTAGAAACGATCTTCTCGAGTCAAGTGCCGACGTTAACGAAACTAGTGTCGTGTTTAGACAAGCGAGAGGTCAGTTACTATTGTTACTAAGGGGGATCAAATTACCAGATGGTACCGTCGTCGAGCGCGAAATATCGCTAAATTTCGCGTGTTTATCGGAGCCGTGCATATTTGTCCACGTATATTTCGCAATCGACGAATAATAACCTGTCGCTTGTTGACGCGTTATGAGTGTTATGACAAATTTCGTAAATTTTCTGCGAATGAAACGCTCCGGGGTCAGCGAGGTCGGGAGATCGCGAGTCGTAGACTGTAGACCACGGTCGACGGGATCGATTCGCACGCGGCTACGTGTCGCAGGTGAAATTTATAATTAAAAAAAACTGAATAATTTAGATTATATAATTATAATTAAGATTATAGAATTAAATTAGAGACTCAACGGACTGTCATGAAATACGAAACGTACGTCGCAATCAGGAAACGCAACGGAACGAACTGCGAATCGACGCAGACCGAATTGCGAAAACGTGGAAACACAGTTGGAACGTAATCAACGACGAAACTTACTTGACGGAATTCAAACGGATTAATACGACGCGACGGGATGCCTTTTGTGTGCGGGGTGCGCGGGGTGCGCGGTATACGGGACGTACCTGATTAATTTAATCTCTCATCCGCGTGACCACCCCCTCAGGATAAACGGGTTAGCGACCAGCGTTCTCTTTTTCTCTTTTTATTTCTTTTTTATCTCAGTACGCCGTAACGTTGTCGACGACGGTGTTCCCCGGATGTGCATGGAATCCCGACCTGCTCTTCTCTCACAATCAGGAGGACCACCAATGGCGGCGGCTTTTATATAGGCCGACGAAGGGTGGATGGGTGGATCGATAGAAACGCGCATGGAATTTATCGTTGCCGGCAACGGCGACGACGGCGACGGCAGCAACAGCATCGTCAGCGGTAGCAACAAGTAAAGGGGCGCGCAGGCGGAACGCAAGGGGTAAGAGAAAACACACCGACCGGAAAATTCTACAATCCCTTCTCGCGAGTTTTCCCGAACTACGATGACCCGAGGAACGTTTGCCGACCCTTCGGGGCGCGAACAGAGAGATCAGGCGTATTCGATTGATTTTTGTGAGACTCGCGAAGTTTCTTCCGCTGCAGGAAAAATTGCAAAGAGCATGCAGAATGCTAATTGGACGTTGCGTTGCCTTTGGTATTTAAAGGATTATTTTAGCGGATCGCTATTTTCTTTTTGAGGTCCTCGATGCTTTAAGGACTGCGCGAAAAATCGAAATCGCAATTAGAGGTAAAGGAGATTGATCGACGCACGATCGCAATTGTGGATGAAATAAATACCGAGGGGATTACTAGGGATCCCCCGAGCGTTTCGAGTCCTCGAGATCCCCTAAACTCTAAACGAAAAACTACGAAGAAAAATTGTAGCGCGATGTTGTTTTGATCCTTGAATGTTCGCAGTTAGGAGTCGCACTAACGCGAAACCATTCGTCTTGCGAGTTAATGAAAGTTGAAACTCTATATCTTTTGCTTTTGTCGTGTCGTGTTTTTTTCCACGTGCTTTGATGTCCGTACATTTTTTACATTTTTAACCCAGATAGCACTAAACATTTCTATGAACGTTCTATGAAAAATCTTCAAGAATATTTCGAATATTCTATAAGTCAATCTTATATATTTACAGTATCTTTATAATATATTTGAATGGCACTACTTATTCAAATGTTTTTTTAATATAAGTAGAATACTCTATCGAATATTTTATATAATATTGTATGCATAATTATAGAATATTCTATAAGCATTTTAATAAAATGTTTTATAAATGTGCATAGCGTATTTTACAGAATGTTTTATATAGATTATTCTATATATTTACATAGCACATAAAATAAATAGGGGTAAACAGTACAGTTGTTGGCCACTTTGCAATGATTGGCCACATCTTAAAAAATTAAGAATTATGAAAGAAATACTATTAAACTGTTTTTTATTATAAATACAAAATATTTAATACATTTTTAAGAGAAACACTTTTAAACATTTTAATAGTATTTCTTTATAATCTTTAATTTTTTAAGATATGGCCAATCATTGTAGAGTGGCCAACAACTGTATTATTTACCCCTATTTTATGAGCATATAAGTTTTTATTTTCCGAAACAGCTAAATTAATTTCACCTTTTTTACAAGAGAAACAAAAAATTAGTTAGAAAATAATACAACATGAGAATGTTAGTGTTAATATCATCTATCACTTAACTAATATTATCGGTTTCTTAATTTTAACACTTATACATTATCAATTTCTAATTGTATTTTATCTAATTTTCGTCTTTCTTATAAAAAAGATGAACTTAACTGCTTTTAAAAATGGACAATTCCATGTTTTTTAGAACAACTGTAATTATTGGAATATGTAGATATATTAAAGAACTGGTTTATATGTAATTAATAAATACACAAATTTAATTAATTTAGAGTTTATTTTTTTTATTTCAATTTTTTTGCATTTACGCATTCTTATTTACAATACTATTTATAATTTATATACAAAATACTATTATAATGCAATATAAGGCTAGTACCATATAATTTGAAATCGAAAAAAGAAATTCAAGTAAGTTAAATTTAAAGTAAAACAGAAAGATTTTTTTAAACTGCAGAAGAATAATTATAGGATTTTCCCTGGCAATTACATGTGTACATAACAATGAAAGAATAAGAAATAAAACTAGTAAGACAGTTTTTTATTTGTACTTGCGCTATATAATATATATGCTTCGTATCTCAATCTCCGTGTACTCTGTGCGCAGGAAATATCACAAAATATAATTATTTGCAGATACAGATATTAATAATAAGGCTTCCTTATTTAACGCTACAATATAAAGACTTCCGACAAAAAGAATTTAGCACAAGAATAAGAATAACAATAAGAAAAGAAATATAAGCTGTTTATAAGATGTTGGTTTAAAGCGGAGAGATTATCTGGTATAACACCATTAGAAACCTCGGCGACGTCAGGAATATTAAGGAAGAGCGGACAAACGGAATTTGCATTTGGTGGTGACAATAACTTATTTTGGACGAACACGTGTGTTCGAGATAAGCGATATGTATTTCGACGACACTTTTTTAAAAACTGACTACTCGACTATATACGCGAGAAAGTAACCCAAAAAAGTCCAGTAATACACTAAAAATGCCCGACGTAATAGGTCGCCGCTTTAAATGGAACGCGATACGAACATGTGCATGACGCCCTTGAGGCATAGACATCGACTCTTTCTTCAAGCATAACCTTAAATTTTTTAAAGAGTTTTATCCTAACAAACTGTTAAGGATGTGAAAAATATTACCAAAAATATATAAAAAAATATTTTTTAAATATATTTTTGTAAACGTATTTTTGCGGAACTAATATGCCTTGCATTGCGTGAAATCTGGGATTAAAAACGCAACACAAATGGAACTGTGACTCGTTTTATAAAATTATCATAGAGAGAGAGAGAGAGAGAGAGAGAGAGAGAGAGAGAGAGAGAGAGGGTGCGTACTCGTTAATTAATTTACCATCTGCGAAAGGTCAAGTGAGCGAAGAAAGGCGTTTTCGGAATTTCATTCAGGAAGTATTGATCATCGTCGTGGAATTGCCCGATCATCGGAATGCGGTGTCTGCCAGTGCATAATTCTTCGACAGCTCGTGAGAACTTTTTATTCGCAAGAATAATACGAAAATCACCCGCATTTGCAATTGCAATACAGTTATAATATATCGTTAAATTTGAAAAATATAATGTGTTTACACTCGTCCCTCGATTTACGCGGAATATTCGCGTAGTTTGTTTTACGCGATTGAGAATCTGCCAGTACAAAAAAAATACGTAAAAGAAAAACCCGTGTATGTTATAAAAACATTTATTCCACATATTTGCACAAAAACAGTAATAATAAAAGTTCAGCAAAACAAATTTAAATTTTATTCGTTGTTATCAATACTCTGTACTTCAAAGCAGTCAACTTTTTTAATTCGAAATTACTATTTTCATCACTAGAAATATTTGACATTTCTATTTCAGAAAGAAATATACCATAGAAAAATGTTTTTTCTGACCACGTAAAATGAGATCGCGTAAAACTAAGACCATGTATAAAAAGCATTACGTAAATCGAAGATATTCCTAATAGTGAGTCAAATTGTTTGCTGAGAAAACTCTATTTTCTCTGTTATCTCTTTTCCGTTGCCAAAATATCTTGGCGAAAACGCTCAACATGCTCATCACTTACATCTTATTTAGTTGGAGATATAAGACTCTGTGGGATGTCCGCACGTGGAAGGAACCGGGCTAATTAAGAGCCGATTGCTGTTGTGACTGTGCGAAAATTATATTTATTCTTCTTTGGAATTAAACGTACGTTTTGGTCCCTATTCGGACCATCTTCAGCAACTAAACAAAGTATTTTATAGTTTGAGTAATAGAACATAAAAATCGCAAGGTTTTATACACATAAATTATAATATATACTGTGCGGTGTGAGATATAGATTGTAACAATTTAATTTAACATGACGGTGATCACTCACGGATGACAAGGTATTCGAATGTCGTTTTAACAGATGTCATAGGTTATTTTGATAAAATGTAATATTAAGTATGAAAAAAGTTAGAGAACGTAAAAGAAAACGAAAAAATGACTGTTTTCACTCAAAAATTGATAACTCTTCCATTTTTTAGTACCATTTTCGTACTATAGGAGGTCATTAGAGCTGAACTAGGCTGGGGCGTTTACCCCACAGTGCCAGTTAAGGGCTAATTGCATAATTGATAAGTTGCGAAATAAGATATTACGTGTGATTGACATTACATGAATCGAAAGACAGAGAGTGGCAGGCCGAGAATAAAGGAAAAATCGATTTCTACATTTTTCGCGTATTTGTCATCTTCACGTTTAGGTCAGCGCTTTTGTTACAAACGTTTGTTATCGATAACTGCGCTAAAGATATCGCTTATCCGGACCGATAGATAAATGATAAATTCATCGGGCGATAACGAGGCGGATAGAAATTCAAGTACAAATGATCGAACAGTCTTCCACCGGTGGTTAGCGCGGGTTCGCCAACCGTCCCTCGAAACGGATCGCTTTATTTTACCGGGCAAGTTTCGGAAATAGAAGTCTCAGGTGGAGATATCGATCGATCACTTTCTCTCTATCTCTATCTCTCTCCGCGTTTTGATCGTTCCTTATCTCCCGCTCGTCGCCGGAGACGGGAACGAGATCTTCACTTCGCGATTATGATGCGGTACACGGAAGCGGACCCGATGGCAGAGCGAAGTTACGCGCAGCAGCTCAACATGCCGACGAACAATGGCGAGCAGCAATCATCACAACCGATCGGTATCAGGCAAAGATATCGCGTTTTACATTTTTTTTATTTTTTTTATTTATCGCGAAAAACGTTTCTTTTTTGCGCGTGACTCTTTCTCAGAAGCAGTCATAAAGCGTAATTTTTTTCTTTTTTTTTTAGGTCCGCCAGCGACGGCGACGTCAAGCGCGGCGACGCAGACGATGGAGCTGCAGGAGAACGCGCCGATCATTTACGCGAACAGCACCGTCATCACGATGCAACCGGAAGGTGAATAGATAATTTTTTTAGCGAATAAAACGCCGACTGGCCATTAACGTCCACAATGTGTGTGTGTGATTTCAATAAAATATACAATTATCCCTTTTTTCTTTTCGCGTCGCATACAGGTAAACAGACATTTAAAAATGAGAAATTGAGTAATTGAGTACGAGAA